CTGCAGCAGAAACAAAGGAGGAACACAGAAAGGAAGGTGGAGACTATCTACAGCAGCAGCAGCAGCAGCAGCAGCAGCAGCAATGGCAGCAAATGTAGCAGCAGTAAATGTATCAACGGATTCTGTTACCGAAGGCCGGTGCAGAATTCAGCAGCAGCAACAGCAGCAGCAGCAGCAGCAACAGCAGCAGCAGCAGCAGCATTGATGGTTGAAACAGAGAGGAACAGAGACAAAGAAACAAAGACAGAGACAGAGAGAGAAATAAAGAAAGAGATAAATAAAAAAAAAAGAAAAAAAGGAGACAGATACAGGTGTGAGGAGACAGGAGACAGATGGGGCAGCAGCAAACAGCAGAGACAAAATAAAAAAGAAGACAAAAAAAAAAATAAAATAAAAATAAAATAAACAACAGCAGCAACACAGCAGCAACACAGGGAATATAGAGAGATAGTATACACAGCACAGCAGCAGCAGCAGCAGCTGTCTCCTTTGCTGCAGCTGCTGCTGCTGTTTCTGCTGCTGCTGCTGCTGCTGCTGCTGCTGCTGCTGCTGCTGTCTCCTCAAGCGAAGGAGACAAATAGTGCTTTTGGGGTGTAAAGACAGATCCTCCCTTTTATTATTATTTTATTATTTATTATTTTATTGTTTATTATTTTATTTATTATTTTATTTATTATTTTATTTATTTATTTTTATTTAGTTAGTTGTTTTTTAGTATTTAGTTTTTTACTTTTTTTTGTTTTTGTTAGTCGTTGTAGAGAACAGAATAATAATAATATATTTATTTTATTTATTAATATATTTTTTATTATATTTATTATATTTATTATATTTATTATATTTATTATATTTATTATATTTATTATATTTATTTTACTTATTATATTTGTTATATTTATTATATTTTTTATATTTATTGATTTATTTTTTGTGTATTATATTTATTAATTTATTTTTTATTATATTTATTATGTTTACTATATAAATATATATTTTTGTTTATTAATTATATTTATTATATAAATATATTTTTTGTTTATTATATTAATTAATATATAGGAGAGTTCTCCTGCAGCCCCAAGGCTGAAGCAAAAAGGATGTTCTACTGCTGCTGCTGCTGCTGCTGTTGCTGCTGCTGCTGTTGCTGCTGCTGCTGCTGCTGCTGTTGCTGCTGCTCCTGCTGCTGCTTACTGCAGCAGCCGTAGACACTCCTTAGCAGTAGATACACTGCAAGCGGGAAATCTAGTCACTCTGAAACTGTTGCTGCTGCTGCTGCTGCTGATGCTGCTGCTGCTGCTGCTGCTGCTTTCTTGCTGCTCATCTGCTGCTGATTTGCTGCTGCTGCTGCTGCTGCTGCTGCTGACTGGCCTATGACTAGCGTCTCCACGAAGCTGAGTAGAATTCCTGGTGCAGACTTACTGCTGCTGCTGTTGCTGCTGCTGCTGTTGCTGCTGCTGCTGTTGCTGCTGCTGCTGTTGCTGCTGCTGCTGTTGCTGCTGGTGCTGTTGCTGCTGCTGCTGCTGCTGCTGTTTGCTAGTGAACGAGTTGGTGTGTCGCCTCCCCGAAATCTCTTTGAGAATTCCATGCTGCAGGTAGTGCAGCAGCAGCAGCAGCAGCAGCAGCTGCTGCTGCTGCAGCAGCAGCAGCAGCACAGGTTGCAGCTGCATCAGCAGCTGCCGCCGCAGCAGCAGCGGCAGCAGCAGCAGCAGCAGCAGCAAGGCGGTAGCAGCACAAAACAGATTTATATAAAAAAGAAGAGATGTGAGTGCCCGCCCCCATGAAGGCTAGGCTCAGCAGCAGCAGCAGCAACCCAGCAGCAAAGAGGAGAGGGTGCTGCGGTTCGTCTCGCAGCAGCAGACGGCCCCCTGCTGCTGCTGCTGCTGCTGATGCTGCATGTGCTGCTGGAGCAACAGATGAAGCTGGCAGCAGCTGCAACGCATGCATCAGCAGCAGCAGCTCAGCTGCAGCAACAAAACT